GTTTGAATATTTATAAATGATACAAAACAACTAGATAATAAGTTATATTGTTGTAAGTGATAAATATTTATAAACTGAAACTTTAGGTCAACATGAAAAACAGTCCTTCTCAGGAATATGCAAGAAAACTAGTATACTGGTAAAAATACATTATGCAAATTATATAAAATATTAATTTTAAGTATTATTATTATTATTGAAGTTAAAATATAAAGTTTGTGACATTATTTGGTTGAAACCCATTGATATCAGTTGATCTACAATGCCCTCTGCACGCTCCGATGAGCTCATCATAATACACTTTAGAACTTTCCACCCCAACAACACGCCCCTGGTGATACAACTTGTAACTATGACATCATGAACTATTAGTTCCAATTTCCTTCTCCTTGTAACACACCCTCTGGTGCCATTTTGTGAAACAATGACGTCCCGTGTTGTCCTGATCTCAAACTCTCTCATTCATTATCGCCTGATAACAAATAGCATTAGGCCGCATTCTTTAGGCTCCCAAGTGCCATTATAACTCCCATTTATAACATGAGTTTGCCATGCCTCAACCTTTCACCAATGTTTTTCATTTACTGAATATTCTGCGATTTTAACCTGAAAACAACTCCACTTTGATATGATTAGATGTTTAAAGTATCAAAAGGAAAAAGTATACTTCTCCCTTTAAAATAAATCCGTCTTTAAATTCGTATTCCACAGGCTCAACTATTAATTTGTACCATACTTCCAGACCAACATTAATTCGGAAGCCGCTTCATAGTAAAAACATGTTTTGTCTCAGACTATCAGTGTAGATCTAATTGATATCCTTTGGAGGAAGTGTTCCGCTTGTTAAAAAACGACATCAGTTTATTACCAGCTTTTTACTTTCAGATGTCAGACTCGCAATTACGTATTTAATGAGAAAATGTTTGTTAGATTTATTCTTAAGCTACAGATTAAAATCAAGTTCATATCTGAAAGGACTAATTAAATTTATGAATCGGCTTAATGCATCCTATACGTCGAATAAAAATCACTTGAATGAACTGAGTACTTCGTGAAATAATTTTAAAGCGGTTAGGAAATTACTGTAAAAATAAATAGATAAATAGAGAAAAATATCCAATAAACAAAGTGCGTGACATTTTACAATTTCCAATAAGATGTATAGATGTGTTTTTTTTTTTTATAAGTGACTTTATAAAATGTCAACAAATAGGTATTGTAAATCTGTTGATAGAGAAGAAGAATGTAAAACAATGTAAAACGAATCGTTGTTGGTTAATTCGGGGATAAATATATATCATTAAACCCAGGATGTGTGGTGTGTTTTGTCAACAGAGATCTGAAAGCGAGGTATCAGCAAGAAACGCGTATTTTTTTGTTTCTGCTATTTCGTCTGCAGACTTCTTAAGCAAGTTACCAGTTCTTGTTCCTTACAAGCGTACTTTTCAAGCCTGTTTTACAAGCACAGTTTTACTGCAACTTTATGTTCAATAGATGTGCCATCTTCAAACAGTTACGAATGTAAGCATCTTGTGCTGAATTATTCATTTTCTTTCATGATTTCCATTTGCATGACGATGTCAGGTTTTCAATTTTTATTTGTATTCACCTTTGCTTTAAAGTTCCATCCTGCCGAACATGAATAAAGTTTAAAATTTTAAATTTTTTGCAGTGAATTTTATCAACGGTGATTTTAAGCAATTAATAACAATTTCCGAAGTAAAGAATATTAAAAAGTAGACGTAATGATAATAATAATGAAATTGTTTTATTTTCTAAATTGTATTCTATATTTGTGTGTGTTGTGATATTCGTAGTGAAATAGAATTTATCATGAAGTAGAGATAACGTAGAAAAGTTCTAGCCGTTTTTATAGAGGCTGAGTAATGCTCAACACTATTTTAAAACGTTTACTTATTTATTTTCATCCACGCCGACTCGGCATGGCCAGGTGGTTATGGCGCTTGTCTCGCAACCTGAGGGTCGTGGGTTCGAATCCCCATCCCACCAAACATGCTCGACCTTTCAGCCGTGGAGGCGTTATAATGTGACGATCAACCCCACTATTCTTTGTTAAAAGAATAGCCTGAAAGTTGGCGGTGGGTGGTGATGACTAGCTGCTTTCCCTCTAGTCTTGCATTGTTAAATTAGGGACCCCTCGTGTAGCTTTGCGCGAAATTCAAACCCATCCATCCACACCAGAAATAACACAGAGTGCTTAGTGATTAAACTTTCTGTACTTCTATAGCTATTTGTTTGGCGATATTTAACGAAAACATTTTGTATGAATATATATATACATTCAAAATTTAATTATTGCGTTTAAACATAAACCATATCTCTGATTTTATTTATAAACATGCAGTTTGCCTTAAAATTTAACAGAACTGTGTATGTGTGGTCCTCCGATGGATCAGTGAAAAGTTCACGAACATATATCACTAAAATCTGGGGCTCGATTCCTCGTGGGGGCAAATCGCTTATAAGTCTGTTCTGTAACTTTGTGCTAAAAACGAAAATAAGATCTATATCACTTTAATGAAGTTCAACTGTATTTCTATAAATAGTCAATTTTAGAAGTCAAAACTGAAGACTATATTGGCACTCATGTGACTTTATTTAATGAGTTTATTTCTTTGAATTTATGAATTTATTTATTTCTTTACAGGGCCTGTGAAACAGTATCCCATTAAAAACTGAACTCTAACTAAGTAAATCTCAACATACCTTAAGGAAAAATAACCCACTAATTGATCACTAGGGGATTAATAACAAATAGAAGATGGAATTTGAATCTAGTAATTTTCAAAACATCATAGCTAGACTGAGTTATAGTCGGTATCTTGTTGAGAACGTGGCTTTAGTCTTTACTAGTACAAGAAAGTATAATAAAATTTGTAATAATAAGTTTATATATTTTAATCGATTTATTGATTAAAACCCAAACATTTTATCTGTAGAATCAAACGAAAGAATCATTCAAAATGCTTCAGAAACATAATTCTCACACCATAGAGAAAATTTGTATGCAGAACCATAAATCTGAAATTATAGAAAAAGCTGTGTGCAGAAACAATTTTCAAACTACAGTATAAAGAAGGGCTATGAATCTTCTCGTTTGGTGAATCCAAATAGGAGACCTTGAGCAGATAAAGCATAAGCATGAAAGTTTATTAATTCGCCTTCAAGGACTCGAGTAGTAAAACATTCAATAAAAAAACACTAAGCATCTTTTCCTTAACATCATTGAACATATTTCAAAATCTGGTGTACGAATGTATCAATTGACGGTGATTGGCTCTGAAATAGAAAAGAGAGTATGTTTTTGTTTGTTACATAAATTATATGTTAGCCTAGTATATACATTAAACAAAATATTATCACAACCGAAGAATGCCACCTAAACAGAGTCCATAGGCAAAAATATTGTTTAACTTATTGTTTCATAAATAATGTACAGATAACTTACATAATTGGGACCATCTTTGAAGGAGACTTACTTATAAACATCATTTAAAATTGTACTGGTGACGATGAAATCAACTCGTTTGGATCAAAACAGTTTTTATAGAAATTTGGTATTCTAGATATGTCCTTAACTTGTAATTTACGTAACATACCAAGTGAGTCAAGTCCAACCTGTTGTTAAAGGTCCTAAGATCTGTTTAATAGCTTTAAAACTTGGAAATAAGATGGGAAGTAAGCAACCCGAACAAACATAATTTAATGGATGTCTCTAAAAAAAATACACAGTTTCATAGTTAAGCTTTGCTAATTTGAAAAGCCATAAATCTTATGCAGAAGACACACTGTAAATTAAAATGGGAGACATTAGCACAAGGTGGCGATAGCAAAGAAAATGTTAGGATACATTACCACAAGGTGGCGATAGCAAAGACAATGTTGGGAGACATTACCACAAGGTGGCGATAGCAAAAAAAAATGTGCAGAACTCTCGCTCTTTTGCGATTGCTTCATAATATTGTTAAAAATATTTCCTAATATTACATCTCATGATATAACCTTCCATTCTACGGGAAGTTATGATAATAAACATGATTTTTTTTAAAACGCTACTTTTTTAAACAAAATCTAATTTCTACTTAAATTAATTTCAGGCTTTGTATTTTCCGAAATACTAAAACATGAAATCGATAGTGTCTGTAGAAATAAATAAAAATGGCAGGTTTATCACTCGTGAGAAAACCGCAGTTTCGTTTATTTAGTTTGTATATATCAAAAATAATTATCTCAAGACCTTCTCAGTAAATTTGTACACAACAGAAAAAAACGTAAAACGTGGGAAACGAGTTGTTCATTTAACATAAGGTTCGTTGCATTAACACTAACTATTGTACCAAACCTTTCGGTGTGTCTCGTACTGAGAAACATACGCGACAAATTGCGATGGAAGTAGGTCGATACTATCATCTAAATAATCTCGAAATGTAAAGCCAAACAACGCACGTTGCACTGTATTATAAATGAAAAAGAATGTGATACTCGGTGGGTGTGGTTGTAGCAGCGAAACCTCTTGTTATTATAATAAAACCGTATTTATAATGATATACGTAGATTATGATGTACTTTGAACAAGTTAAGCGCTAAGTGAAATCCTTACGAAAAACTTGTGATATTGTGGCTGTGTTTTATACGACATTCAAATAGTTAAATCTTGTAGTGGTATGCCTAGGCGAACAATTAGATAACTGCTTTAACTTGATGATTGAATGTTGTTTTATTGAATACTCAAATATTATGGTTGTGTCTATCAAACAATTAGATGTTGCATCAGAGGTAAAGTATGCGATCACGTGTTGTCATTTGAGTTTACACATGCATTTTTCCCTTGTGCGATAGGTGTAGAGAGCAATAACGTTTAAGAAATATGTATACACAGGTGAATAAACCAATACTTGAAAAATATAAGTACTATTAAGTATTTGTGTTTGTTTTTATAATATTACTTAATACTTTTCTCTAAAATCCCATATTTCCAGTCGCCCTCTCCATCCTAAAACACGAAGCAGATCCACCGTTAGTTGCCAACTGTTCCACTACTGTTCTCACGTGCCAGGTAGACATTCCTGCCCCGGCAGTGGACGTCTGGTGGACATTTCGAGGAGAAAATGCGTCTAAATTACCCAATGTTAAGATAATCACGGATCACGCGAACGACGGCGTGTGGCAACTTCAGTTACTCTGTCCCACACCGGAGCATGCCGGGAGTTTTGCATGTAATGCCCAGTCAAGGAACGAGAGCGAGTTAGTCTATCGTAAAGAAGAGACAGTGGAGGTGTACGGTAAGTAGTTCCATTTTCTAACAGTAGCTGTCCAGCAGTTTGACAGTAGTTGTCTCGTTCTTGCCTTCACTAGAAGTACATGTGTTGTTCCGAGCAGCGAATAGCATTTATATATAGGAGGTATTGATACTGCTAGTAAATACATAGTATTTATTATATGAAAATTGATAGAATCGCTCAGCAACGTTTTAACATCGGTTGATTTCTGACTTATTAAAGTAACTCGTCTATTATGTAAAGTAACGGCAGTAGTTGTGATTCAATAGGTTTCGTCTTTTATATTAAGTTTTAAGATTGGGATTACTCGGTATTTTTACTTTTAGTAAAAAATTAGATATTTTGAAATTATGAAGATTGGAATATTTCATTAGCTGATTCATCTATGCTTTACGGTACCGATAAAAATGTGTGGTTCTATAGGCTTTTATCCTGGTAAGTTAATAACATTTATTATGAATATTAGCTACTTTTCTTAATGAACTTGCCCGGCGTGGCCAGGTGGTTAGGGCGTTCGACTCGCAATCTGCGGGTCACGGGTTTGAATCCCCGTCACACCAAACATGCTCGCCCTTTCAGCCGTGGGGGTGTTATAATGTGACGGTCAGTCCCACTCTT